CACACACACACACACACACACACATATATATATATATATATATGTATATATATATATGAACCCACATACACACCTACCACACACGCTACGCGTGCGTATGTGTATGTGAGTGAACAGGGTGTTGCACCAACACAGTAGTATGACGGGTTGCGCGCCCTAGAGGCACGCGTGGTCCAGCGCAGTTTAGAAGGTAATGGCGGCATATGTATATACCATTATTATTATTGATCGAATGAGTTACGTATTGTTTTCCCAATAAAGTTTGCAACGTTTCAAGCATAATTATGATGGGCTTGGACAATTGTTATTATTATGACAGAAGTCGGAGCGACAATACAAGATATAAAATTGAATTTTATAAATTTGATATGACACAGAGAGTATCTTCTCTCTTATGAGAAAAGATTAATTACAGTCGTATTGTAGAGTATGGCTTTCATCAGTTTTTTACTGATACGTTAGTATCAGTAACAAATATTTTTACATATGCCATCATTACCTACTGAGTCGCATTCGACCACAAGTATCTCTGAAAAATCGGCTGCCCAACCTGTCATACTGCTTTATATGTTCGTGCAACATCCTATACGTGTGTAAAGTAATGCGTACTTTTTAGGCCCGAGCCGGCAGATTAATCCTAGACCGTTTATACAGATTAGTCTATAAAAAACGTCGATCATGCGGTCTATGATTATTCTACCATTGGAATGTTTCGACCTTTCGTACGCTTCGTCTCTCCTTTTGTGTGGCTATTATAGCAGTTATATATAACATGTTTAGGATGACATGTGTCGAAATATGTAAAATAATGACAAAAACTATCTCTTACATGAAAAATAGGTTGATTTCTCCTTATCTTTCTCCCTCTTCTCTTTTTACTTCTACCCTTGCCCCTCCCTATCTATTTTACGGCTCGCACATGCGTGTTTATTTTTATATATGTCTATGTATGAAACGTGTGTAATTTTTAAGTTCTTATATAGAGATGTATGTACATGTATCCACGAAAATGTGTGTGTGTGTATGTGTGTGTATATATATATATACGCGCATCAAACAATAAAAATAAAATTATTAGCTTAATTCATTTATTAATGTTAATAATGTAGAAATAATACCTTTGTTTAAGAAAAGAAAAAACAGAGATGGATAATCAGTTTATATTCTTACGCGAAAGGAAACATTGGTAATCTCGAATTCGAAGATAAAAACAAATGGCATTTATTGCGTTTGATTGCGATATACGTACTAATAATGAAAAAAACGTTTTTTCGTTAATTCTAAAGAGCACAGAAAAGATTGGATTTATAAAATTTGTTAATTTATACATATTAATATGTACCGACCAAGAAAGTATTTTTTATTTTAATTTGTTTATAAAAAATAATTTAAGTCATCAATCAATCAAATTAGTATTACAATTTTTTCTTTAGACATTAAATTTTATAAATTTGTCAATGCTCTTTAGATTTGAAAACTAAAGAGAATATTTTATATGTGATTGTTAGAACAGACCAAAAATATAATACTACCGCACATAAATATTCCTCGCAAGTTTTACTACGCGAAATCAGGTTTTATTAGAAAGAACTTAAGAACTTTAAAGAGTATTCTGCTCGGTTCTGATTAATAGCTATAAAATACATAAAGCGAAATCTAGTAATCAGTATACCTCGAGATTACAGGCGCTTGTAAAACTTTTTTTCAACAAAATACAGATTAAAGAAATTTTCTAGAAATAATACAGTGTAAACTGCTCGTAAATAACAGCATAATCGGCATCACCATTCCACATGTAATTGAATATTATATAATTGCGACGCAATATTTATATATAACCACTGTGTGCATAATATTTTATATATATTTATATAATGTGTACGTGTGTGTTATGTGTGTTCTTGTTATGTATTTAGTTGCCTAATTATGCGGTAATGGTGTAGAGTAATCATTGCAAGTAATAATCGTAACAATAATAATAATTTATTACATAGTATTCATCTTCTCTTATAGTACATCGCGTATTTGTTTTCATCTCATAAAAAGATACTTTGCTTGCGTTTCACTTAATATTCATTCATTGACATATAACCATAACGGCCCGAAGAACTCTCAACAAGAAAACACAGCCTCCGGGCCCTCGGTAGCATTTGTAGAACCAGTTAATCCATATAATCCTAATTCATCTCTACTCCCTCTCTTTCTCTTTCTCTCTCTCTGAATTCATCCACAGATTCTCTCAAACGCACGATCATAATCTTTTTTACCGACCCTATTTATGTATCAGGACGGTCTGTCGAATTAATCCGACACCGAGTCACAACATATAATCATTACTCGGCTTTATCGTTATTATGCTTTCGAAGCGAATCAAAATGTAGCAAAACAAAACTTGATCTAATAAATAAGCAAGTTCTGAACTTAAATTTATTTCGCGTCTGTAAAACCAGAAGAAGCTTTCTCTAAAAAGAAAATGACCCATTCTTTGTGAATCTTTCCTTCTTCACACATTTTTTCGTTTTTTTTAATCTTTTCTTTTCAACACGAATTATTACGCATTAGTATTCGTTTTATTTATTATATACGCAACTCTAACAGAGTATGAAGCTAAGAATAAATCACGTTAACTTAATCGGGATACTCTGGTCTTACAACATACGATTTCTCTATATTAGTTGTTGCCTTAAAAAAAAGAGCATCCTAATTCTCCATATAGATCGTTTTTTTCTTTCCTAAGGTGCGAAACGTCAACTTGCAAAATCACAGAGAATTACGCATCGTTACACTGTTATTTAGGATTATACCTATTTTTGTTTTCTCCACGCGATGTGGGCTACATATTCTTTATATATTTCTAGGCCTGCTCTTCGTCGTCTTTGAGATCTTCATTCTTCGCTGCATCTATCCGTTTTTCTTTAATATTGCACCTGATACGACGCTGCGATTATTCTCAATAAAGAGACGCGGCGTAAGATACGGCTCCATGTTCTCCAACCGAGATATAAATTCTTTTTTACCTTATTTTAGTAAAAGATTAAAACTTTACGGCGAGAAAAAGGAGTAATAAAGCATTTTGTCGTTACGGTTTGAAAGAAATCGAACAAAGTTTGAAAGATAAAAGGAATTGAATTTTCCCCTTTGGTCTTCAAATCTATTCTTTCTGTCGCAAAAGATATTATAAAATATGTAATTTGTGTGTTTACATCTTACACATCATTAATTATCAGATATAATATATAACGATAATGCGTTACTTTTTTTCCGAGCAAACTTTTCGTGAATTTACACGTTCTCGTATACCACAGTTGGAGTTCGTAAGGATTCGATCGTTTTAGCAGTTTTGCGGTCCTAGACGAAAATATTAAGTTAATATAAGAAAGTGCTACAAATTGATTGCTAAAGGACTACTGGCATAACCGATATCTATGTATAGACCGCTGCTATAGGACCGTCTAAGCGCCGGGCGCAAAACCACTAACTCGTCCTATCAACGAAACAAATCCTAGGTTATTTTGACATGGAGCCATTAATATCTCTGCGTATGCTAGTAAAACGAGTGTCGTCATTGATACGAATCCTTATGGAACGTGTCGCTTTTGTGGAAGATCCTCCGTCCTTCTCTCGTAAGTTCTTGGCTCGCAAAATTGTTTTCAGACTTTGGTCTGGGCAAGAGACAAGCCGGCAGCGTTCTGAGCTCCATGCTGTGTACCTAAAATCATTTAAATTAAAGAGTGATATCTATTTTATTTGCCAAATAACAGGATAGCTGTTAAATTTATTTAAACATAATTAAAAAGAGAGAGAAATCACAAAGAAGAAATACGCGATAAATCGTGTAACGCTTAACGCTTTGGTTACGACTGGGCGCAAAAATTTACAATTAAAAATTGTCGAATAACAGTTGATGACAATTTAACAACTGTACAAATAGTTGAAATTATTTGATATTTGAGGCTTTCACAGTATCCATAAATATTAGATTTAATTTTCGGGTTTGAACCGCGTGGATTCTTCTTTGTTTGATTCCGATATTTCGTGAACATTTCATTTCGCTTCATCAAGGAGGAACGACCCGCATCGGGTTCCTGAAATGTTCGCGAAATGTCGGTATCAGACAAAGAAAAATCCACGAGACTCAAACCTGAAAACCAAATCTAATAGTTGAAATTATATATTAGAATAAAAAAATTATGATTAAATATATATAATATATTAAATATACATTTTATATTAAATATATAATTTATATATTTATAAATTACACAGGTCTGCAAAGTTCGGTTGATTAAGATTAAAAAGTTATTTACGACGTATTTTTCCACGCCAAATCCGAATCTAATCTCAGAATTTTTTCATCACGTCAGGATTTTGAGATATTTGAAGTTAAATGTGTAAAAAATAATGTTTTTGGCAAAGTTCGTTCACTTATTGTAGTGATCCAAAATTTTTTTTCAAGATTTTGATAACAATTGAAAACTATGGACCTTTACGTACAAAATGCAATTTGGAGCGTCCCGATATAATTTTGTTACCAATATATTACAAATTAAAATTTAGCCCTTTCCCTCAAATATGTCAAAATCCTGACGTGATAGAGCAGTCGGATTCGGATTCATCACGAGAAATTACGTAGGAAAACATTGTCAGATCTCAAACGACGTTCAAGAATCTTAATTTAGCAGGCCTGTGTTATTATACACAATTATTTCTTATTATAGTCATAAATAGTTTGTAATCATAAATAATCGTCATAAATAGGTACAATTTTGTTTGTATAGAAGTAAAAGAAAAAATCGGAAGGGAGAATTTGCTAGGTCGAGAATTGAATCATGGACCTATGGTTTATACAACATGACTTTTTTCTACTAACTATACAAAATGTCCCAAATTACTATTCTCAAGCTTTGCGAGAACGTAGGACAGATTGAGATAAGCAAGAAAGTCCCATACCGTTTTGCGATATTCACAATAGTTTTCGAGAAACTAATTTTAGAAAATCGGGTGAGAAAGAAAGGAATGCTCAAGTTGCTGAAGTCACTCGAGATCTAGCGCGATTTAGTTGGTCCAAAAATGATGACGAAGTATGGCGAAGGATAGCTTTTTATCGCTATTTACTTTTTTAAATCACAGAATCTTATTATAATTTTAATGTGAGCTGTTTTTACCGTCTTATAAAGTGATCTCCTAAATATAGCTTAGTAGCATAAAATATTGGCGCAATATTGGGAAATTATGTAAATTTAATGTTAAATATTGAGTATTAATTGATTTCCCAATATTGGTCCAAAGTTATAAAATGGATATTGCCTTTTATTTAACCAATATTGGTCAGCAATATTGGTCCAATAGCATTGAACAATATTGGGCAAATGTTAAGCAATAATATTTACTCAATTTTTTCACGTTGGACATTAATTGGATCCTAATGTGAAACTAATTCCAGTAAACACTAGATATTCCTGGAAAATTTATAAAATGTTCCTAAAATTCAAAATTAACATTCCAAGAATATCCCAAAATATTCCAGAATATTAAAAGAATTTAAAAGAAATATTTAAATAAACGCAAAGAGTTCCACTTTTTACAAATATTAGCGAATTGGTTGAAATAAAGAACTAATCACAGCGTTTGCTGACTTTACTTGAAATTTAAGATTACTTGATTCCAAATGTTATATCACACTTAAAAATTTTAACTAATGTCCATTCGTAGAACTGCACGATTTTGAAAATCGTTATTATACAGATTTTGATGAAGTGTGAAAAAGATGAAATTTGTGGCAATGAAATATTCACAGAATACTTCGTTGACTGATACCATTTTCACGTTCAAGCTGTCTTATGTTGAGGTATGGATTTTGTGCTACAGCTGCCAAACTGTTAACTATATTTTTATTATTAGTTGCTATTTTGGATCGTTAGTATTTATCGTTATCCACGCTTCCAGTTTCTTCAAAATGTTTTATTATATTTGAAAAAATAGACCGTGAAGCTATAGCACGATTAAAGAACCCTTCAACATACTGTCTCTCTTATAACTCAGCAACATTCACCATAAATGCATATTATATCAATTTTCTCCGCTTTTGTAGAACGCATTATAAAATTTTGAATAAATTTGCGAAGTCGCATTTCAGTCGATTTTTATGAAATAATACTGGCAAATATTAAACTAGTACTATTCAGGTGAATACTATTCAGTGTAATATGATTTGAATGTTTGTTTACATGTCCGTGACTACAATACATGAAGAATATTTGATGACCATTAGTCACACATTCACAATTATAAACGTAATTTTTGTATTATTTGCAATATTAATCCTTCCAACGTACACCGGATTATCTTGATCCGATTCTTTTATTTCGAGCACATAGAACTTGAAGCACATAGTAGTTTTTGTACGTAATACAGATAACGTAATACTATAACTTAGAAGATCTATCATCATCTATCTATCATCACTCTCGAAATACCATATTTACTCTAATCTGAATTTGTTTCAGTATATGTGTAATTTGTTTCAGCTACGGCAATCAGACATCAGATTAAATAGATCTAGATATACTAGATTTGAGGCTTTCACGGCCATTGATACAATGTCTAGATATAGCTTCCGGAATGGAGCCGTGTCTTGAATCAGCGATATGCCGAGTTATTTTGCCAGAAAACATCGTGAAGGTCTAGAAATTTTGAAACATCCCAATAACCTCAACCGAGACAAAGGTATGCAAGTAAACTCTATTTGGCATACTGCCCTCCCGGTTTTTTAATTGACCAGCTGATCAATTAAAATACGCTGATTGGCTGGATTCAAGCCTCGTCCCCTACTCCCTAAACACCATCTACACAAAGGGGAGGAGGGGGGCATATAAGGACTACCTTTACCCAAGGGAGCTCAGTATCAGAGTTCTCAGCCCTGATGATGCAAACTGCAACGTTTGCGAAACGTCGGCATATCGCTGATTCAAGACACGGCTCCATTCCGGAAGCTATATCTAGACATTAGATCTAGATATATTCATACCCGTCGAACGAACAATATCAAAATCAAGTATGAAACTTTCGATTTTTTATGATTCAAATAAAAATTAAAAATAAGTATTGGAAGCGTACGAATAGCAAGTTAGATAAGGTTAAGTTAAATTATAACTTAAAGAAAAATAAAGAGACAGTGATGAGAGGGAGAATTCATGTCTGCCGCGTTGTTGCTATTTTATTGCATAAAATACAATATGCAGGATGTCTCACTTTAACCGCTTCGCTGGTATTGACGCACTTTTGCGTCAAACAAAGGATGAGCCAAAATTGGCATTGACGCATTAATGCGCATATCATTTAATTTTTTTTCGTTAGCAAGATTTTTATCAAACTCAGTACTCAGGGATTCTTGAGATCGCTGATTTCAAATCTGAATTCTAAATTTGAAAAATCAAAATGGCGGATTCAATATGGCGGACCAAAATGCGAAAAGTGACTTGATTTTTATAAAACCTGATATTCGAGAGTTTTTGAGGTCGCTACTTTTGAATCTGAGGTTAGTTTTGTTAAATTCAATATGGCGGATCCAATATGGCAGACCAAATGGAAAAGTGACTTGATTTGGATGAAACTCGGTACTTGATGGTTTTAGGGTCGCTGATTTCGAATCTGAGATTAGTTTTGTCAACAACTTCACTGGCAGAGGAAATCAGCAACAACTGACCCAAAAATGGCAAGATCAAAATGCTGTTTGATTTTTATAAAAGTCAGTACTAAAGTACTTTTTGAGTCGTTGAATTACGAATTTGAGATCAAAATTTGAAAGTTTAAATTGACGAATCTAATGTGGCGACTAGAAATCTTTCTTTATTTGATTGACTAAACAATCTGAATGGATTTTACAGATTGACTTTTATCACCTTAATTCCATAAATTTCATAAATAAATTATTTTGTTGGACTGTTTGACTGAATAGACTAAGTTTCCCAATAAATAACTCGAAAATGCAAACATTAGTTTCATTCAAGAATGTGAACCGTATATCGTTACTCTCGTTTCAAAGTCGCCTTGTATTGCAGCAATAACAAAATTTAAATAATATGAAACTGAAATTATTTAGGACGTAGAAAAATGGAAGCCTTGCATTTGACAAAACTAAACTAAAACAGATTCGAAATCAGTGACCCTTCCCTTACGGAAAAAAAACTATTGAGCGCGCAATACTTAGTATTGGTTAATACTAAATTGGTCAATACTTCTTTTTAGCAATACTTAGTATTGATAAATACTAAGTATTCATGAATACTGAAAAATAATATTGAGTGCGCAATACTCAGTATTGGTTAATACTAAATTGGCCAATATTTTTTTTGGGAATACTTATTATTGATGAGTGCTAAAAGTATATACGCGGAATATTGTTAATTTTAACAATATTATTATAATTTTAACAATATACTATCCCTTACAGCACATTAATATTGATTTTAAATAAAATGTAGCTCTTTTATTTGATTTCTCACTATTTTCACACCTGAAAATTTTCCCAGTACTTGTCGGACGACAACTCGAGACCTCAGATATCTCCAGATTCCTATTCGAGTCTATTATTTTGGCTGCAGCGCTATTTCTTCAACTGATGCTAAGCGTTTCTTGTAATCCCCATATGTAGTCGAAGCAGTACTTATAATTTTCTTATAACATTTAGTATAACCACAAAAATAAACT